GAAGGAGAGGGAAGAGGGAGGGAGAGAGGGAGGAGAGAGGGGAGAGAGAGGGAGAGAGAGAGGGAGAGAGGGAGAGAGAGAGGGAGAGAGAGAGGGAGAGACGGAAGGGGGGGATTATTATTCTTTCAACAAACCGGCTGTATCCCACCAAAGCAGGGTGGCCCAAAAAGAACAACAAATGTTTCTCTTTTTAACTTTAGTAATGTATACAGGAGAAGGCATTATTAGCCCCTTGCTCCCAGCATTTTAGTCGCCTCTTACAACATGCATGGGTTATGGAAGAAGAATTCTGTTCCACTTCCCCATGGAGATAGAGGAAATAAACAAGAACTAGTAAGAGAACAGAAGAAAACCCAGAGGGTGTATATATATGCTTGTACATGTATGTGTAGTGTGACTTAAGTGTAAGTAGAAGTAGTAAGATGTACCTGTAATCTTGCATATTTATGAGACAGAAAAAAGACACCAGCAATCCTACCATCATGTAAAACAATTACAGGCTTTCATTTTACACTCACTTGTCAGGACGGTAGTATCTCCCTGGGCAGCTGCTGTCTACTAGACTACTAACTAGGAGAATTATTATTTTCAATTAAAATTGAGCACTACACCTGTATAGGTCATACCATGTGAAGAGGAGAAAGCAGGCAGTTGAAACCATGAACAGCCATGATATAATGATCACAAAATAAAGTTTAGCCTTCCCATTTGACTAATGGGCAAAGTTTTCTTGATCAATCAATTGTCTACATGAATAGTACAGTTCAGACGGTCATTTGACAAGTGATGTCTGTGCATTTCTGGCAGAACAGCTACTGAATGAATGATGGTGAATGTGCTTCCTTTCTTGGGTCACCCTACCTTGGTGGGAGATGGCTGATGAAGTAAAAAAAAAAAATGCCTACAGAATATGTTTACAAGTTTATATACACATACAGCATAATGCAATATTTAAGTTAATTTCCGGTAACTGTTTACAGACATGCAATTCTGCGAGGAAAAATATTTACACGGCAGGCACAAAATCCTCTGTACTATATTTTCAGCACACTTATATGTGAGTATGTGTGAGTGAGGTGAAAGTGTTGAATGATGATTTAAAGTATTTTCTTTTTGGGGATTTTCTTTCTTTTGGGTCACCCTGCCTCGGTGGGAGACAGCCGACTTGTTAAAAAAAAAAATTATATGTCGTTCTCTGTTCTCTGCACATTACTAGATCCACGCCCTTGTTCACTATCTCCAAGTTAAAGGTTGAAAATTGAAGGATAAAAATGACAAACAGATAACGTACTTTGTTAACCACTTTGACTGTTTCAGTGTATATATACGTCTTACGAGCGACTGTTTTTGACGTATATATATGTACTCACAAATTCTAGCGGCTTGAAATCAAGCAGGAGAAAGCTGGTAGGCCCACATGTGAGAGAATAGGTCTGTGTGGTCAGTGTGCACCATATAAAAAATCCTGCAGCACACAGTGCATAATGAGAAAAAAAAATCCGACCGTTTTTTCTTTTTTGGATTAAAAAACCAACTTTGTGGTGTATTTTCGTACAGTATTTATGACTGTATTCTCGTTTTCTTGGTCTCATTTGATAGAATCAAAAACATATTATAGAAATAAAGATGATTTTGATTGGCTTTGCTATGAAAAGAACCTTGAAATGGAGCTCAAAGTAGGGGAAATGTTTGATTTTTGCCGATGTTCAAAAGTAAACAAATGATGTCATTGTCCAATAAATGTCCAACTAGCCATTCTAATATGCAGTCATGAATGGGTTCACATTATTTATACAATTATTACAATACTGCAGTAGTCTGCATAACAGTAAATCTTCCATTTTTTTGTTTGAATAAAAATTCAAAACAGAAAGCAAGAGTAATATCAGAAGGGCCTGGAGATGTGACTGTTGAACAAAGAAAATGTTATTTTAGAGCCAGGAATGTCTTCATTGTTCATTCTGGACCCTATTTTGAAATTGGCATATTCTTTAATTTGCGTGAAATTGGCCAAATTGCAAATTTCTGACCACATTATTGGGTAGTTGAAAACAGTAAATGGGCAGTTTCTTGTACTCAATCGATAGAACAAATGGAATTCTAAAGAAATAGCTACGAGTTTGGTCAACTGGAACAATGGAATTAGCCGAAAATAGGGCTCAGAGTGGGCAAAATCCCGATTGGTAAATATCGCTGAAGTCGCTAACTTCGTGAGAGCATAATTCCATAAGTTTTCCATCAAATTTCGTTCTTTTGGTGTCATTACCATCAGGAAAAGGTTCTCTGTCATTTCATAAGAAAAAATTATATTTTTTTTTTTTTTTCAAAAATTTTTTTCGACACCAGGAGACACCTCAGGTTTCCACAGTCAAGGGGTTAAGCAAAAGGAGTCCACTTTGCCATTTTTTCAGTGCTGCCTTGCTAGTCCAAAAAATACCCTAAACCCATATGGAAACACTGTATGAGCTGCCAATGAATCAATTTCTACCCAAAAAAAAAGAAAAATTGGATAAAAGTAAAATTTTGAAAAAATGCCTGACCACAGGCATTCCAATCAAAAAATTTTAACATTACATGTGCACAAGCCACAGAAAGAGCATTAACAAGCTTAATAAGCAGTATAATACAAACATTAAAAATACATGTTAATACATAATTCATTGATGTGTTACCGTACATATTTTGTACTGGACCTTAACCCTTTCAGGTTTCCTATGTACAGTGGTCCCTCAATTATCGTCCATAATCCGTTCCTGGAAGTGGGACTATTATCGAAATAGACGATTTTCAAATTGAATTTCCCCATAAGAAATAATGTAAATGCAATTAATCCGTTCCTGACACCCCAGAAGTATTAAAACAAAAAAATTGTTTACACGAAATACAGATGTAGTACATAAACAATACAATGGCACATGATGAATGAAACATAACAGCATAACACTTACCTTTATTGGCGATTCTTCTTAGTGTATGGAAGACTGGAGGAGGAGAGACATTGAATTACTGTTTGGAAGGGGAATCCCCTTCCATCAACACCTCAGGTACCAAGTGCTTTTCTGGGGTTACTTCTCTTCCATTTCTTAATGCCACTAGGACCAGCTTGAGAGTCACTGGAGTCCTGTCTCGCAAAAAAACTGTCCAGAGAGCTCTGTTTCTGGCGTCTCTTTAAAACTTCCCTAAAATGGGCCAAGACTCTGTCACTGTACAAGTTGCCGATATGGCTCACAACATCCTTCTCAGGGTGATGTTTCTCCATAAATCTTTCCATCCTACCCCACATTTCAAAAATCTCCTTAATTTCTGAAGAAGGCACCTTCTTCCATCTCTTTTCCTCCTCCTCTGCAGCAAGATTCTGAACTGCGATCTGTTGCTGTTCCTGCTGAAACTCTTGCTCCTTTCATATTCTTCAATGATGTTTTTCTTAAATTCAATCGTATCTCTCACCTTCTTTACCAAAGGGTTGGCACTAGGAGCTTTCTTTGGAGCCATGGTAGCTTATTTAGCTCTTGCAAGCACTAAAATGAATGGAATATTATGAAATACATATTATGAACACGTGAGGGGACCGTCACTCACTGGTAAACAATGGCACACTGGCTGGGAACGGCTCAGAGCCATGAGTACATGTCCATGACGAAAGACGATTAGCAAGTTAACGGACCATTTGCGAGCCAATGTTTAGACGAAATAATGGGACTATGTATTTCCGAAATGGACGACTTTCAGGCCGGACGATTATTGAGGGACCACTGTACTAGTACGGCTTACGCGCCAGGGTTTTTGACGTACTAGTACGCATAAATTCTAGCGCCCTCAAATCTAGCAAGAGAAAGCTGGTAGGCCTACATATGAAAGAATGGGTCTATGTGGTCAGTGTGTGCAGTATAAAAAAATCCTGCAGCACACAGTGTGTAATGAGAAATAAAAACTTTGACAGTGTTTTTGGTTTAAAACAGTGACTTTGCACTGTATTTTTGTATGGTATTTGTGGTTGTATTCTAGTTCTCATGGTCTTATTTTATAGAATGGAAGACATATTACAGAAATTGAGACGATTTTGATTGGTTTCACAATGAAAAGTACCTTGAAATTGAGCTCAAAGTAGCAGAAATGTTCAATTTTTGCCAAAGTTCAAAAGTAAACAAATCATGCCACACGTCCAATACACGCCAACTGGTGAATCTAATATTCTTTCACAAGTGTGCTGATATTATTTATACCATTTCTACACTAATACAGTAGTCTGCATAACAGTAAATCTTCTATTTTTTGTGAGAATAAAAATTCAAAGTGGAAATGTTATTTTAGTGCCAGGAATGTCTTTCTTGTTTATTCTGGACCCTATTTGGAAATTGGCATCTTTTGAAATTTGTGTGAAATTGGCAAAATTGCTAAATTCTGACCACTTTATTGGATAGTTGAAATCGGTAAATGGGTGGTTTCTTGTACTCATTCGATAGAAAAAATGGAGTTCTAGCGAAATAGTTATGATTTCTGTTGACAAGTACACTGGAACTGGCCAAAAACAGGGCAAAATCGCCGATGCGTAAACATTGTCGAGACCGCTAACTTCGCGAGAGCATAATTCCCTAAGTTTTCCATCAAATTTCATGATTGGAAAAAGATTCTCTATCTTTTCATAAGAAAAAATAATTTTTTTTTTTAAATTTGGCGACCCTGAGAACAAGTCTGAGAGAGGGCCTGTCGACCCTGAAAGGGTTAAACTAAGCAATAGAAAATCAACAGAGGTACAAAATATAGTATAAAATGCACTAAAGTGCATAATTTGAATATGAAAATAGCTAATAGAGCATTTTATTTGGTCCTCCTGATATACAGGACAACAGTATTCTAGCCATTATCTCAAAATTTAATAAAAGATAAAAACAGTCAGTGTTGGAAGAGAAATTGTTTGATTAAATGTTTAACCTATCTAAGGATAACAATACTTTTTCTAGCTTAGATGGTATTTACTACAAATACTGTACTGTACTCACTGGGAATGACTTAATTGTCCAAACAACACAATTTTTCTCTGGCGTATACTTGACAGAGCCCACAGATGTTTTGAATTTTGGAGAGTCAGCATCATTAGGTACTGGAATAATGATCTCTACGTTGTTGGCTGTTGAACGTCTTTTAAACTGGGATTTAGCTTTCACCATGTACTCAACTCTGCTGTGGGCATGTCGTTCAATCACAGATTCAATCCATATAAGTGGTTTCACCTGGAAATATGAACCAATTTTAATTAAATATAAATATTTTTTTTTATAACTGTGGGCAGTGTTTTTTTTTTTTTAACACATCAGCCATTTCCCACTGAGGCAGGGTGACCCAAAAAGAGAGAAAGAACTTTCATCATCATTCAACACCTTTCACCATCATTCATACATAATAACTGTCTTTGCAGAGGCGATCAGATACGACAGTTTAGATGTCCCTCCAAACAGCCAATATCCCAAACCCCTCTTTTAAAGTGCAGGCATTGTACTTCCCACTTCCAGGACTCAAGTCTGACTAACCAGTTTCTGAATCCCTTCACAAAATATTACCCTGCTCACACTCCAACAGCTCATTGGGTCCCAAAAACTATTCGTCTCCATTCACTCCTAACACACTCAGGAACGCTTGCTGGAAGTCTAAGCCCTCAGCCACAAAGCCTCCCTTACCCCCTCCCTCCAACCTTTCCTAGGATGACCCCTATTACCAAACCACCTCAACAACCCCTCTTCAGCCCTCTGACTAATACTTCTAGTAACTCCACACTTCCTCCTAATTTCCACAAGACGAATTCTCTGCATAATATTCACCCTTAGACACGACATCTCCACAGCCTCCAGCCTCTTCCTTGCTGCAGCATTTACAACTCACGCTTCACACCCATATAGAGTGTTGGTGGTTTAGAAAGACACGTAAGCAAACACTATGACATATTTATTAGAAAACGTTTTGGTCCTGGGACCTTGATCACTTCTAACATACAGAGGTAGAAAGACATTATGTATAGGCAGAGAGTGAGGTGTGAGTGATGCATGGTGACCTGAAGAATGTCATGTTGGGATGATGATGGGTAGACGATGAAATCGTATGACTCCTGTGTTGTTGGGTTGGTGGTGCTTAGCCTGCTTAAGTATCATGTATGCTAATGTTTTTGAAATTTTGTGGTTTCCAGTGTGGTTTCGAAAACATTAGCATACATGATACCTAAGCAGGCTAAGCACCACCAACCCAACAATACAGGAGTCACATGATCTCATCATCTACCCATACTAATCCCAACACGGCATTCTTCAGGTCACCATGTGTCACTCCACCTCACTTTTTGTCTATATATAATGTCTTTCTACCTCTGCATGTTAGAAGTGATCAAGGTCCCAGTACTGAAACATTTTCTAATAAATATGTCACAGTGTTTGCTTACGTGTCTTTCTAAACCAACTTGTCGGTATTTATTACTAAGGTTCACATCAAGAGTGTTGGTACCACCATTCTCTCGTACATTCAATTCTTTGGGTCCAAGGATAACAGATACCTCAAAGCACCACTCACCTTTTCTTTTCTTCATCATTTCTATGGTTAACCTCATCCTTCATAAACCCATCAGTTGACAAGTCAACTCCCAAATATCTGAACACATTCACTTCTTTCATACTCCCTCCCTCCAATGTGATGTACAATTTTTCTTTATCTAAATCATTTGATACACTCATCACCTTACTTTTATCTACATTCACTCTCAACTTTTTACTTTTACATGCTCTCCCAAACTTGTCCACTAACCTTTGCAAATTTTCTTTAGAATCTCCTAAAATCAGCAAAAAGTAACTGTGTCAATTCCCACTTTGTATTTGATTTCCCATAATTTAATCCCACCCCTCTCCCCAACACATTAGCATTTACTTCTTTTAACTCCATCTATAAATATGTTAAACAACCATGGTGACATTATACATCCCTGTCTAAGACCTACTTACACTGGGAAGTAGTCTCCCTCTCTTCTGCAAACCCTAACCTGAGCCTCACTATCCTCATTAAAAATTCTTTACAGCATTTAGTAACTTACCACCTATTCCATACACTTGCAACATCTGCCACAATGCTCCCTTATCCACCCTATCATATGCCTTTTCTAAATCTATAAATGCAATAAAAACTTTCCTACCTTTATCTAAATATTGTTCACATATATGCTTCAATGTTAACACGTGATCTACACATCCCTACCCATTCTAAAGCCTCCTTGTTCATCTGTAAGCATACTTCCATCTTACCTCTAATTCTTTCAATAATAACCCTACCATACACTTTACCTGATACAGTACTCAGTAAACTTAATCCCTTATAATTTTTGCAATCTCTTTTGCCCCCTTTCCTTTATATAAAGGAACTATACACACACACTGCCAATCCCTAGGTCCCTTCCCCTCTTTCGTACTTTTTTTTTTTTTAACAAGTCAGCCATTTCCCACCGAGGCACATTGACCCAAAAAGAAAGATCCAAAAAGAAAAAAGAAAGTTTCATCATCATCCAACACTTTCATCATCATTCATACATAATAACTGTCTTTACAGAAGCACTCAGATATGACAGTTTAGATGTCCCTCCAAACTGCCAATTTCCCAAACTCCTCCTTTAACCCTTTCAGGGTTTCGGCCGTACTAGTACGGCTTACGTGCCAGGGTCCTAGACATACCAGTAGTACTCATAAATTCTAGCGCCTTCAAATCTAGTGAGAGAAAGCTGGTAGGCCTACATATGTAAGAATGGGTCTTTGTGGTCAGTGTGCGCAGTATAAAAAAAATCCTGCAGCACACAGTGCGTAATGAGAAAAAAAAAACTTTTACCATGTTTTTGGATTAAAACAGCGACTTTGCACTGTATTTTCGTATGGTATTTATTGTTGTATTCTAGTTTTCCTGGTCTCATTTTATAGAATGGAAGACATATTACAGAAATTGAGATGAGATCTGACTGGTTTTACAATGAAAAGTACCTTGAAATTGAGCTCAAAATAGCAGAAATGTTCAATTTTTACCAAAGTTCAAAAGTAAACAAATCACGCTAAGCGTCCAATACACGTCAACTGGTAAATCTAATATTCTTTCACAAGTGCACCAATATTATTTATACCATTTCTACACCAATGCAGTAGTCTGCATAACAGTAAATCTTCTATTTTTTGTGAGAATAAAAATTCAAAATGGAAAGCAAAAGAATGTAAGAGGGGCATGGGGACGTGACTAATGAACAGAGGAAATGTTATTTTAGTGCCAGGAATGTCTTTCTTGTTTATTCTGGACTCTATTTGGAAATTGGCACCTTTTGAAATTTGTGTGAAATTGGCAAAATTGCTAAATTCTGACCACTGTATTGGATTGTTGAAATAGATAAATGGGTGGTTTCTTGTACTCATTCGATAGAAAAAATGGAATTCTAGCAAAATAGCTATGATTTTTGTCGACTAGTACACTGGAATTGGCCAAAAATAGGGCTCAAAGTGGGCAAAATCGCCGATGCTTTATTAAAGATCATCGAGACGGCTAACTTCTCGAGAGCATAATTCCATAAGTTTTCCATCAAATTTCATACTTTTGGTGTCATTATGATATGGAAAGATGGAGAATCTTTTCCCACAGAAAAAATAATTTTTTTTTTTTTTTTAAATTTGGGGAACCCTGAGAACAAGTCTCTGAGTGGGCCTGTGGACCCTGAAAGGGTTAAAGTGCAGGCATTGTACTTCCCACTTTCAGGACTCAAGTCTGGCTAACCAGTTTCCCTGAATCCTTTCACAAAATACATGTACCATCCGACTTATGACCAAGCTTGGTTCCGACCAACCGGTCGTAAGTCAATATTGACGTAAGTCGAACCTTACTACTGAATATCAACATCATATTTTTGTAATGATTTTATTTTATTGTTTTATTTTGGTATTTCATTTTTTACTTTACTTTTTATGCTGTTAGTACTGTATTTTATAATGTAAGGTTCAGGATAAACACTCTGTACAACACAAACAGTTGTTTATTTCCCAGAAATTTGGCACACAAAACATGTCATAAGTCAAGTGGTCGTATGTCGAGCAGGTCATAAGTTGGATGGTAGGTGTATTACCCTGCTCACGTTCCAACAGCTCGTCAGGTCCCAAAAATCATTCGTCTCCATTCACTCCCATCTAACACATTCACACACACTTGCTGGAAGTCCAAGCCCCTCGCCCACAAAACCTGCTTTGCTCCCCTCCCTCCAACCTTTTTGAGATCAACCCCTACCCTGTCTTCCCTCCCCTACAGAATTATACACTCTCCAAGTCATTCTACTTTGTTCCATTTTCTCTAAATAACCAAACCATCTCAACAACCCCTCTGCAGCCCTCTGACAAATACTTTTAGTAACTCCACACCACCTAATTTCCACACTACGAATTCTTTGCATAATATTTACACCACACATTGCCCTTAGACACGACATTTCCACTGCCTCGAGCCTCCTCCTCACTGCAGTATTTACAACCCATGCTTCACACCCATGTAAGTGTGTTGGTAACACTATATTTTCGTACATTCCCTTCTTTGCCTCCATGGATAATGTTTTTTGCCTCCACAGATACCTCAATGCACCACTCATACATTTACTGAACAAAAATACCAACTACTCCAACACTATATCCCCCCTGCTTTTAGCATTTCTGTCATGATCCTGTCAGTTCCAGCTGCTTTACCCCCTTTCATTCTACTTAATGCCTCATGCGCCTCCCCCACACTCATATCCTGCACTTCTTCACTCCCAAAAGATGTTATACCTCCCTGGCCAGTGCATGAAATTACTGCCTCCTTTTCTTCATCAACATTTTAGAAGTTCCTCAAAATATTCCCATCATCTACCCAATATCCCTAACTCCCCATCTACTAACTCCCCTATTCTGTTTTTAATTGACAAATCCATTCATTCCCTAGACCTTTTAAACCTGTTATCTCACTCCAAAATTTTTTCTTATTCTCAGCAAAATTTGTTAACAGTGCCTCACCCACTATCAATTGCTCTCCTTTTGCAATCTCTTCACTTTTCTTTTACTCTCCATATTCTCTGCCCTTCTTATATCACTTCTGCTTTGTAAAAACCTGTCATAAAAGACCTTTTTCTCTTTTATCACACCCTTAACCTCATAATTCCACCAATCACTCCTCTTTCTTCCTGCACCCACCCTCCTATAACCACAAACTTCTGCCCTGCATCCTAACACTGCATTTTTAAAACTATCCCACCCCTCTTCAACCCCCCACTACCCATACTTGCACTAGCCCACCTTTCTGCCAATAGTTGTTTATGTCTCACCCTAACTTCCTCCTCCCTTAGTTTATAAGCTTTTGCCTCTCTCTTATTTACTGTTGCCATTTTCCTTTTGCCCCTCTACCTCTTACTCTAACTGTAGTTACAACTAAATAATGATCCGATATATCTGTTACCCCTCCATAAACATGTACATCCTGAAGCTTACCCATCAACCTTTTATCCACCAATACATAATCTAACAAACTACTTTCTTTACATGCTATTTCACATTTTGTATACTTATTTATCCATTTATCCATAAAATATACATTACTTATTACCAAACCTCTTTCTACACATAGTTCAATTAACCCCTTAACTGTCCAAACGTAGATCTACATTCCTTCCGCTAGCGCCCCAAATGCAGATCTACGTTTTATTTTTTCTGCCTCCAAAATTGGCATGATTGGCCTGAGATGCCTGGTCGACATAGAATAGGTTTTAACACTCAGTGTGCACAGTATTAAAGAAATCTGGGACCACTTAGTACAGTGGACCCTCGGTTATCGGCTCTTCCAGATATCAGCCAAATCAGTTTTCACCCGCTTTTTTGGTCGAAATTCTATCCCAGTTATTGGCCATTATTTCGGAGATCGGCTGTATTGGACGCGTAATAAATCACTCGAGTACATTAAATGTCTTATTTTAGGTTAATATAGACAATTTCATTAATCCATCTATGATATTTTCTTCAAAATTTTACAAGAAACAAGTTACATAGCATATAGCATATAAACATACCATATAAACATGCAATGTTTATATGCTATCAAATAGAGGTCGGGTGGAGAGTAAACATTACATTTTCTCTGATTCAATGTTAAAGAAAACTGTGAATCTAGCGTCTCGCCCAGTAACCGCCCTTCATGTGCGTTTGTTCACAATTCTAGGCATGAATTATTCATTACTTCTCCCTTTGTTTATGATGGCATCTAAAGGTAGCTGTTAGAAACAATTAAACTCAGTGAACACGGTAATAATATGGCTGTGTAGTGTAGCCCAGGAGGGCTACCCTACACAGAGGGGAGAGGGAGTTGGGGATTCCCAACTCCCTCTCCCCTCCTGCCTTCTTCAATATGCCAACAAGAGTCTTCAATAAAGGTATGTAATGTTCATTTATCATTAAAATTTATGCTTTTTATGTATTTCTCATTGTTTTCTGTATGTACAAATATAGTTAATCTTCAGAAAATGTATTTTTTGTTAATATTTTTGGGTGTCTGAAACGGATTAATTGAATTTACATTAATTCTTATTGGAAATATTATTTCAGTTTTCGGCCTTTTCAGATTTAGACTGACCTTCTGGAACAGCTTATGGCCGATAACCAAGGGTCCGCTGTACCTTGTGGGAGCACCAGTTCAACTGAGTGATAGCTAGAGCAAACAGTGCGGCAAACACCAAGGATTCACTGATGTCATGTCGTATTAACACTCCCCATTTAAGAGGAAAGTGATGTTGACCCTGATTATTTAGTGGCTTTGAGGTGGATGTGGCCACAAGTGGTAGAGGAAATATCAAAAACCTCAATAATAACCCATGTGCAACATTTGTGCAACACCCTTTCAATTTTGATACCACTGGTAGTGTCATCCTGCCAGAATGTCCTATAACCTATGCCCTAAGTAAAAAGAAACAATTCTGGAACGTGTAATACATGTTTGGCACGCTGGCTGACAGGCTGGCCAGTGGCTGACTGCCTGGCTCTGTCTATCTGTGTCTGTCTGTCTGTATCTATCTCTATCTCTCTCTATATCTCATAGGTACACATAAATACAATTATACATAGTGTAAATTACCTAGGATAACCCAAAAAATCCAGACAGTGTGCTATACTGTGCTTGTAGATATAATGCATAATAAGCATGTCTGGCAAGTAATACGCATTTTCACTTGTTCAAGAATTAGATATGACTACTCCTTGCAAAGGCAAGGAGACTGGTGTTTATATAGGCGTCCCTATCCACTGACGCCTATATAAACGCCAGTCTCCTTGAATTTGCTTCAGAATCTCTACTACTATGGTGCTCTCAACAAGGCTGAGGGACTGAGTGCCTCATCTTTTGTATATAGTTCTACTGTCTTCTAATTATGCCCTAGAATCTGTATTGATAAAGCCACTGGATGGCAAAACGTCTACAATAAAGATAACCAGATGTTGCACATGTGTCTTTACTTTCACCTCAAATTTACCTACTATTCCCTCCACATTTTTACCCACTTTGACATTTAGGTCCCCAACCATAAGTATTGTCTCACTTGGTTCAAAATTCCCCCATGCACTCACTCAACATTTCCCAAAATCTCTCTCATCTACACTTCTCTCTTCTCCAGGTGCATAAACACTTACTATAACCCACTTTTCACATCCAACCCTTATTTTACTCCACATAATCCTTGAATTTTAAATGTGATAAACTCATGCAACAGTAAAGCATGTAGATAAGATACATAATTTGCCCCTTTGCAACCCCTCTCTCCAACACAAAGTAATATAAATCACAACCTGAAGCCAGCAAATATATATATTTCATTGTACAGGACATGCAGGGGTCTACATTACAAAAATTCTAAAATTACTTATTTTTCCTCAAATTTGACAGAATTCTGAATACTATAATTTCCCTTTTGAATAAAAAACATTACTATATACACCTCACTTGATAAAGGAAACATTGGCAGATATTTCAGTTCATCCTAAACCATTATCGAGTCATCTATATACTGTGCACAATGTAACGAGAATCAAATATTACTCACATGTGTATTGAGTCGGTATGACATGAGCTCAAATTCACCATCAGGAGGAATGAAGGAGATAGTGCGATCATTTTCAAACCTACAGCAAAATAGAAAACCACTCAAGTTAATCAGTCTCCAAATGACAAAACATGCTTAGGACCCAAGATAATCACAACAACCTATATTTGTGGCAAAAAAAAAAAAAAATCCGAATGACACACTCAGGGATACGTATGCTGTGTAAAGATGTGGTTAAAGTATTTATATTCTAACAAGAAGAAAGCTATACACTATGTGCATGCTTCTGCTGGCATTAACTGCAAACTCTTATACACACTCTCGTTTATCTGTGAGGCAACTGGCTCCTTCCTCATAAAAATATGCAAATAACTGTACTCTACTTTTGGTTGTTTTGAATAGCAAAAGTTTCAGTGTAATAGTAAGCAGTATCTTGAAATGCCACAGTTCTCTAAAAACTTCCCCATCTTGTCCAATGAAATGGTGAGCATGTGGAAATTACAGGTGCATGTCAAGTGCAATAAATTTTATAAAATATTTAGAGGAGCAATATTTGCATTTGACGAGTTCTACCGACTAATTTAATTATCGAATATTAGAGCCAACTGCTACCTATTTAGACTAAGTATGAAGTGAATAAACAATGACAACTGCCTGGCAAGCATGTGCAAATACATACAAAGAAATCCCTAAAGGTGAAATAGAGAACAAGTTAAAATAAAAATACAATGGACCCTCAGTTATCAGCCGTAATCCATTCCAGAAGCTCAGCCTAAGACCAAAATGGCCGAAAACCAAAATAATATTTCCCCTAAGAATTAATGGAAATACAATTAATCCGTTCCAGACAAAAATATTCACAAAAAAAAAAAAAATTTAACAATTATGTAAGTATTACTCAGGTACCATCCAACTTACGACCAAGCTTGGTTCCAACCAACGGGTCATAAGTCGAAATGGACGTAAGTTGAACCTTACTACTGAATATCAACATCACATTTTTGTAATGACTATTATTTTATTGTTTTATTTTGGTATTTCATTTTTTACTTTGCTTTTTATGCTGTTAGTACTGTATTTTATACTGTAAGGTTTAGGATAAACACCGTGTACAACACAAACAGTTCTTTATTTCCCAGAAATTTGGCATAAAAAAACACGGTTGTCAGTCGAGTGGTCGTATGTCGAGCAGGTCATAAGTCGGATGGTAAGTGTACATTTATTGAAGACTAATGCTCGCTTCTGGATGATAGGGAGGAGGAAAGAGGGAGGAGTTGGTGTTTGGAAGGGGAATCCCCTTCCATAGAGACTTTAGGTAGCAAAGCATTCTCTGGGGTTACTCCCCTTCTTTGTCTTTTAATGCAACTAGGACCAGCTTTAGAGTCACTGGACCCCTGTCGCACAACAAATCTGTCCATAGAGGTCTGTTTCTGTCATCTCTAAGATTTCCCTGAAGTTGGACAGGGTTTTGTCACTGAACATGTTGCAGATATGGCTTGTTTCAGCTTGGTCAGGGTGGTGTTTCTCTACAAAAGCTTGCACCTTAGTCCACATTGCACACACCTCTTTAATCTCTGAAGAAGGCACCTCCTTCACTCCCTCTTCCTCCTCCTCTGAAACAAATTCCTCAGCTGCAGTCTGTTGCTGTTTGAGTTGAAGCTTTTACAGCTCTTCAGTGATTAGCTCTTCCCTGTGATCCTCCACCAACTCTTCCACATCTTTGCCACTCACCTCCAACCCCAAGGATTTCAGCAGTGCCACAATAGAGTCCACAAGGTCGGCAAGGTCAGGGTCAGCCTCAAACCCTTCAAAATCCCTATCTTGGACACAACCTGGCCACAATTTTCTCCAAGCAGAATTCAAAGTCCTGGAAGTCACTCCCTCTCAAGCCTTACCTATAACACTTATGCAATTGAGGATACTGAAGTGATTCATCCAGAACTCTCTTAGGGTCAACTGAGTGTCAGAGGTCACTTCAAAGCCCTTTTCAAACACTGCTTTTGCGTAGAGTTTTTTGAAGTTAGAAAGGACCTGCTGGTCCATGGGTTGGAGGAGAGGAGTGGTGTTAGGAGACAAGAACTTCACTGTGATGAAACTCAAGTCCCTAAACAATTGGTCTTCCAAGTCTGGAGGATGTGCAGGAGCACTGTCCATTAACAGGAGGCACTTAAGTGACAATTTCTTTTCCAGGAGGTATTTTTTCACACTTGGGCCAAACACATCATTGACCCACTCTTTGAAAATTTGCCTTGTGACCCATGCCTTTTGATTAGCTTTCCACATCACAAACACTCTATTCTTGATGACATTGCTTTTCTTGAACACACTGGGATTTTCTGAGTGATACACGAGTAGAGGCTTCACTTTAAAATCCCCACTAGCATTAGTACACAACAAAAGAATAAGCCTGCCTTTCATAGGCTTGTGTCCTGGCAGTGCCTTTTCCTCCTGCGTGCTGAAGGTCCTGTTTGGCATTTTCTTCCAAAACAGTCCTGTTTTGTCACAAGTGAACACTTGTTGGGGTTCGAATCCTTCAGCCTTTACATAGTCCTTGAGCTCCTGTACATACTTTTCAGCTGCTTTTTTGTCACAACTTGCAGCTCCTCCATGCCTTACAACACTGTGTATCCCACTATGCTTCTTAAATTTCTCAAACCAGCCTTTGCTGGCCCTAAATTCACTACCAGCAGCATTTGTTCCAGGAGTTTTCTGTAGAAGATCCTCATGTAACTGCTTTGCCTTCTCACAAATAATAGATTCCACAACACTGTCTCCCACTAATTGTTTTTCCTTAATCCACAATAACAACCACTTTTCCATCTCTTCCATTATTGGTGACCTTTGTTTTGTTATAAAAGTTACTCCTTTCGCAACACTGGCATCCTTGATTTGTTCTTTCTTTCCCAGGATGGATGTAATGGTAGCTTTGTTTTTCCCGTACATCCTAGCAAGTTCCAGCACCTGCATACCCCTCTCGTATTCATCAATCACTTCACACTTAAATTCCATGGTATTTCTCACTTTCTTTACCACAGGAACTTTACTAGGAACTTTCTTTGAAGCCATAGTTACTTATTTTGCAGTTGCACTGCAAAAACACCACAAAAAACATTGGAAAACAAGCAAAATGTTTGGATGTATGAGCAGAGGCTTCCTCACACACCAAGAGACAGCCAGACTGACAAGCAAGTGGCCCCAATTGGCGGATGGACATGTCCGAAACGGCTGATCACCGAAATAACGGCCGATCACAGGGAGTCGAAAAACCAGGTGATGACCGATTTGGCCGATAACAGGAACAGCCGATATCTGAGGGTCTACTTTATAACTTACACATTACATGAAGATAACACAACCTGTTTGAAAACTAGTCAATATTTAGTTATATCTGACCACTATATATAATACTGCCTTCAAATATTCTGACATTATTTGTTTTTTCAACACACCGGCCATTTCCCACCGAGGCAGGGTGACCCAAAAAGAAAGAAAAAAAATTTCTGACATTATATTTCAATTATTACAGTCAGTCCAGAGCTCGTTGGTATGGTTACAGTTTATGTTTAGTTACATATTACAGCGGCTTGAATTACAATAAAATTATATTGGAAATAACTTTTTTCTGAAGAAAATGCTGCCTTTATTTACCAACCTATTTTCCATTTTTAATTGTTGTTAATGGTCAACATTCTCCATGGACTGCATCTTCTTCTAGCATACTTCTGAATTCTTCTTGTGCTAAGTCTCCAGTCTGACTGTATACACTCTACATCCAAAATGTATTAAATAAGACCATTCACATACATATATCTCTCAATGGTTGTAATTGTGATATTTACCTGGACAGTCTGACACATTGGTGGAATTTGACATCCTCTAACTCCACACTCTTGCTTTTACCCCGTCCTGTCGACTCAAACAGTACCTTATCGTTCAACCCTAACCGCAACTCTGGCATTCCTGAGAGGTACACACGCATTTTGATGCTCCCAACAATCTCGCTACGGAGCACATTGCCATTTGAATTAGCCTGTAGAGGAAAAGATTTAATGAATACCTAGTTAACAAATCTGTAATACGGTATTAACAATGCAAAATAGAAGAGTATATAGGGTATTGGCTGTTTGGATTGACATCTCAAATGTCATATCTGGGCACCTCTGCAAAGACAGTGATTACGTATGAATGATGGTGAAAGTATTTCTTTTTTGGGTCACCCTGCCTTGGTGGGAGATGGCTATGTTGAAAAAAAAATAAAAATACAAGGCATGTGGAAAAGGTGTGGCCTCAATTGAAAAAAAAGAAATGTCAGTACATGGTAACACATATCTGTGATATTTGGAAAGTGCTGAGGGAATGAGAATCAATTGGTGAAATAAGAAAATGATGAAAAGAAAATTTTTGGCATGTTAAAGTCATTGGCGTTCCAAAAGTATAGAACCTTAACCCTTTGACTGTTTCAGTCGTATATATATTTCTTACGACCCACCGTTTTTGATGTATATATACTCATAAATTCTAGCGGCTTCAAATCAAGCAGGAGAAAGCTGGTAGGCCCACACATGAGAGAATGGGTCTGTGTGGTCATTGTGCACCACATAAAAAAATTCTGCAGCACGCGGTGCATAATGAGAAAAAAAAACTCCGACTGTTTTTTTTAATTAAAATGCCGACTTTGTGGTGCATTTTCGTATAGTATTTATGATTGTATTCTCGTTTTCTTGGTCTCATTTGATAGAATGCAAAACATATTATATAAATAGTGGTGAATTTGGTTGGTTTTACTATGAAAAGAACCTTGAAATGGGGCTCAAAGTAGGGGAAATGTTTGATTTTTGCTGATGTTCAAAAGTAAACAAATGATGTCATTTTCCAATAAATGTCCAAGTAGCCATTCTAATATGCAGTCATGAATGGGCTGATATTATTTATACAATTATTAGAATATTGCAGTAGTCTGCATAACAGTAAATCTACTATTTTTGGTTTGAAAAAAATTCAGAATAGAAAGCAAGAGTAATATCAGAGGGGCCTGGAGACGTGACTGATGAACATATAAAATGTTATTTTAGAGCCAGGAATGTCTGCATTGTTCATTCTGGACCCTATTTTGAAACTGTCATATTTTTAAATTTTAGTGAAATTGGCCAAATTGTAAATTTCTGACCACGTTATTAGGTAGATGAAATCGGTAAATGGGCAGTTTCTTGTATTCAATCGATAGAAAAAAAATGGAGTTCTAAAGAAACAGCTATGAGTTTGGTCAACTGGAACAAAGGAATTAGCCGAAAATAGGGCTCAAAGTGGGTGAAATCGCCGATTGGTAAATATCGCTGAAGTCGCTAACTTCACGAGAGCGTAATTCCTTCAGTTTTCCATCAAATTTCGTTCTTTTAGTGTCATAATTGGGAAAAGATTCTCTATCATTTCATAGGAAATTTTTTTTTTTTTTTTTTTTTTTTTTGGAAATTTTGCGACACCAGGAGACACCTCAGGATTTGGGGTTGCAACAGTCAAGAGGTTAATGAAGGAAGAAAATTAGAGAATAGTTAAAAATACTATATGAATAAGAAATTTGCAGATGAAAGAATGAGTTAGGTATTTTTAACTAATTTTACATGATATTAGAAAGTTCTGAAGAGGTAAATAAGGTGAGCCTATATCTTTTAACCCTTTCAGGATTTCGGACGCATTAGTACGGCTTACGCCCCAGGGTTTTTGATGTACTAGTATGCCTAAATTCTAGCACCCTCAAATCTAGCAAGAGAAAGCTGGTAGGCCTACATATAAAAGAATGGGTCTATGTGGTCAGTGTGCACAGTATAAAAAAAATCCTGCAGCACACAGTGCGTAATGAGAAAAAAAAACTTTGACCGTGTTTTTGGATTAAAACAGCAACTTTGCACTGTATTTTCGTATGGTATTTATTGTTGTATTCTAGTTTTCTTGGTCTCATTTTATAGAATGGAAGACATATTACAGAAATTGAGATGATTTTGACTGGTTTTACAATGAAAAGCACCTTGAAATTGAGCTCGAAGTTGCAGAAATGTTCGATTTTTACCAAAGTTCAAAAGTAAACAAATCATGCCAAGCGTCCAATACACGTCAACTGGTGAGTCTAATATTCTTTCACAAGTGCATTGATATTATTTATACCATTTCTGCACTAATGCAGTAGTCTGCATAACAGTAAATCTTCTATTTTTTTGTAAGAATAAAAATTCAAAGTGGAAAGCCAAAGAAATATAAGAGGGGCCTGGGGATGTGACTAACGAACAGAGAACGTGTCATTTTAGTGCCAGGAATGTCTTTCTTGTTTATTCTGGACCCTATTCAGAAATTGGCATCTTTTGAAATTTGTGTGAAATTGGCAAAATTGATAAATTCTGACCACTTTATTGGATAGTTGAAATCGGTAAATGGGTGGTTTCTTGTACTCATTAGATAGAAAAAATGGAGTTCTAGCGAAATAGTTATGATTTTTGTCGACTAGTACACTGGAACTGGTCGCAAATAGGGCTCAAAGTGGGGAAAATTGCCGATACGTAAACATCGTCGAGACCGCTAACTTCGCGAGAGTATAATTCCGTAAGTTTTCCATCAAATTTCATACTTTTGGCATCATTATGATCGGGAAAAGATTCTCTATCTTTTCGTAAGAATTTTTTTTTTTTTTTTTTAATTTTGGCGACCCTGGGAACAAGTCTCTAAGAGGGCCTGGCGACCCCCCCAAAGGGTTAATGTTGTATTTAGCTAACATAAAATTCCCTAAAGTGGTCCTATCGAACTGCATAAACAACCAGGTTATCTTACGAAAAGTAAGACCACAGAATGATCCGTCAGCACTGGATAAAGACCAATGGTCTTTAATCTATAAAGTTCCTACAATGGTCTTGTTAAGACTCAAGATCTTACAAAATAAAGTAGGACCCCATTTGTCACAGAAAATGGGATCAGATACCCCATAAATTGTGCTTATTATAAGCATTAATTAAGCTAAATAGAGAGCAAGATTCATTCATTCATTCACACACACACACACACACACACACACACACACACACACACACACACACACCACAACGCACACGCACACGCACACGCACACGCACACGCACACGCACACGCACACCACACACACACTCTCACTCTGCACACACTCTCACTCTCGCACACACTCTCACTCTCGCACACACTTCACTTACACACTCTCACTCTCGCACACATCTCTCACTCTCGCACAATCTCTTCACTCTTCTCTACTCACATTCTCTCACTCTCCACCTCTCACTCTCCACTCACACTCTCACAATCTCACCACACTCTCACACTCACTCTCACACTCTCACACTCACACTCAACTCACACTCACACTCTCTCACTCTCACACTCTCCACTCTCACACTCTCATCTCACTCTCACACTCTCTCACTCTCACACTCTCTCACTCTCACACTCTCTCACTCTCACTCTCCTCACTCTCACACCTCTCTCACTCTCACACTCTCTCACTCTCACACTCTCTCACTCTCACACTCTCTCACTCTCACACTCTCCTCTCACACCCCTCACTCTCACACTCTCACACTCTCTCACTCTCACACTCTCTCACCTCACCTCTCACTCCTCTCACACTCTCTCACTCTCACACTCTCTCACTCTCACACTCTCTCCACTCTCACACTCTCTCACACTCTCACACTCTCTCACACTCTCACACTCTCTCACACTCTCACTACTCACTCTCACACTTCACTATCACACTCTCACTCTCACACTCTCACTCTCACACTCTCACTCTCACATCTCACCTACCTCTCACACTCTCACTCTCTCAACTCTACTCTCACTCTCTCACTCTCTCACTCTCCTCACTCTCACACTCTCACACTCTCTCACTCTCCACTCTCTCACTCTCACTCTCACACTCTCTCACTCTCTCACTCTCTCACTCTCACTCTCACTCTCACACTCTCTCACTCTCACACTCTCACTCTCTCACACTCTCACTCTCACACTCTCACACTCTCTCTACACTCTCACACTCACTCTCTCTTTTAGCTAGAAGAAAGCCTCACTGTGTCAGTGAGGATGCATGCATGGCCCCAGAGAGGGCCATATGGCCCTCTCTTGAGGGCCACTGGTGACACAGGCACCCACTCAAGTTGTTTTGACTGTGCTTAGCACAAGTATGTCAAGCAGTGGGTCAAGGTCTTCGAGTGCTCGTTGACGTTATCACAAGCTCACTCCCACAAACACGGCTGTTTTACTATGTCAAAGTCTTTGAGTGCATACAATGCTATCATAAATCTGTGATTTGCACCAAAGGTTTCTGAACATTCCATAACAAGCTGACAACAAAATTCCCAAGTTATCATTTGGCTATCTTACTAACATAAATGTTAGTTCATTAAGAGCTATTTCTCTTCAAGAGATTAACAGGGTACAAGACATTGTGTCTTGTATACAATTTACAATTAAACTACCGACTCAGCAGAAGAAGAAAAGTAATAATTTTATTCCAAAGCCAAGAATTCCACTGAAATATGTTTAAAATGGCAAGCTAAATAATATTTTATATTACAATACTATTTCCTATTTAATTTGTTATATGACAAATATTTATTATTATTAATTAATATATCAGCTTTATAAAAAAAAAACTAAGAATGGCATTTTCTTACCCTAGCAATTTTTTCATGACATTCCACTGATCTCAATACATATTCAATCATACAACTTCCAAACAACTATAGTGATCCAGAAGTATTTCTTTCACCTTTCATTACCCTATACAACCAGGTATTGTAGTTACTAAGGGTTTTCCATTTTCTTTTTGCATTTTTTGTTTTAACATTGGCTGTCTCCAAACATGGTAGAGGTGACACAAAAAGAAACACTTTTACCATCATTCATTCCATCTTTGACTTGCCAGAAGCGTGCTGACATCACAGTTTAGGTGACCCTCTAAATTGCAACAACCCCACACCACCTTCAAAGTGAAGGAGTTGTAGCTCCCAACTCTAGGACTCAAGTGCAGCTAACCAGTTTCCCTGAATCCCTTCATAAATGTTACCGGTGAAAATTTTAAGTTTTACCAATACAGTTCTTAGAAGATAAACAGTTCTAAGATAAATGACAGGTACAGTTCTTAGAAAATAAATAAGGTAAATAACAGCAGTTCTTAGAAAATAAATAACAGGGAGAGTACTGTATTTAGAGGTTAAGTACTGTAACAGATGCAGCATCACCTTGTGCAAGCTTTGCACTCTCTGAATGACTAACTTTTTAAATATTATAAAAATTAATAAAGAAGATACGTATAGGCAGCCCTTCAAGCATATTTTTTTCTAAAATCACTTGTACTGAAATTTAAACTCATAATTTCCTATTACTATCCTTGAATAAACAAATAATAAATTAATAGAACTCACTGATAATTTTAATTTTTCTGCCATTTGTTAATAAAACTGTAATACACTTTATTTATTATCTTTCAGGTAACACCCGAAAGGAAAATATACGAATAATGCCTACCAGAAGATTAACACCCTCAATAACATCAAGGAAGACTTCATTCTTGCGATACTTGATGCCTTCCGAGCGCCAAGACACAGCATTTGTAACAGCTATGGGAGGTCGTGGAGCAATCTCTAATTTATGACCCTCTTGCGTGATATATCTGAAAAAAAAAATATTTAAATACATTATAGTTAAGAAATACATATGTACTGGCATATACTGTTCCATGCTTATGCACATTCACTTACAAAAGTATGAGAAACTAAAAATTTATATGACAAATTAAAGACTGAAGATACACCATGAACACAGCAGTGCTCTTGTAACTGCAAATAATATTTAAACAAATACTTTAAACACTAGAAGACTAATTCAGAAATCAGAACCAACATATAATAAACTGAACGTTATTGGAGAAACTCAAAGCACAATAACTTACTCCTGAAGAATCTTGCCATCTGTAGTCTGTGGGTAGCCAAAATCCAAAAGTTCATCTAGCAGCTCATATATGATGACAAAGTTGTCCCTGATACTCTCCTCTTCCAATTCCTGTCAACAATATACAGCCTTATATAATTTAAATTGTATTTTGTATGGTGGATCAAAAATTGCTTGTGCTTCATACAGTAGGGCCCCACTTTACGGCGTTCCACTAATACGGACATTTCAAATTATGACCAAAGCTTGCTATACTGCTCCCCCCATCTGACTAATACAGTCACTGCACCCCATCTGGTTTGTTTACATACTCTGTGAGCTCCTTGAGAACCACATCTCTCCATTTGCCTAGAATTTTCCAAAATTTCAAGTGTTTTAAAGTTATTTCATGTTTTATATATACAGTGGAACCTCTACTTATGAGTGCCCCCAACGTGTGAGTTTTTTTAGATACGATCAGTCGCTCAGTCGATTTTTTGCTCCCAAATGCGAGCAAAATTTCAAGATGTGAGTGGGCCTCAAGGGAGGTTCCTTGACACTCGTGAGGGGCTCTTGCTCTTGATCTAGGGAATTGGATCTCAGTTGTTTGTTGGACTATCTTATTGAAACTTGGGCAATGTATGATGGAAAGATGCTTCTTAACGTACGCCAAAATTGACATTATATATGCAATTATTACAATAATGAAGTTTTATATACACAGTGGAACCTCTATTTACGAGTGCCCTAAGTAAATCTTCTAATTTTTGTGTGAATAAAAATTCAAAATGGTAAGCAAGAGCATTATTATAAGAATACATACGTACTAATAAATAATAATAATACGTATAATATAAAAATACCTAATACAGTGGACCCCCGGTTTACAATATTATTTCATTCCAGAAGTATGTTCAGGTGCCAGTACTGAACGAATTTGTTCCCATAAGGAATATTGTGAATTAGATTAGTACATTTCAGACCCCCAAACATACACGTACAAATGCACTTACATAAATACACTTACATAATTGGTCGCATTGGGAGGTGATCGTAAAGCGGGGGTCCACTGTACTATACTAATAATTATAATAATATGTACATACGTACATAATAATATGTACATACGTACTACGTATAATAAGTTTGAGAACACTACCAAAGATGGCAGTGCATATCAAAACAAAGCTCAGCAGTCCACATGTGCTAACGGAGCTTGCATTGTGATTGAAGGCATTCTCTCAATCTTAAAATAATGAATTTTAACTAGTCATAAGTTGGCCTGTGATACTCCAATACTGAAACTATGTGTAGTGCCAAAATAAAAGCATTCACATTGCTACACTTACAAACTAGTATTTAGTCACTTAGCCATAATACCAACTTACCTCATAATTTTGTAATATTTTAAACTTAAGATTTAATCTAAGTCTGCCCAAAATGCCTAGCCATGCTAGGTGTTCTAGTGGTACACTCTGTAATTATTATTTTACTACATGTAAACCACACAATAACCAAATTCTGTAAACTCAGCATTGTGATCCTTATAGAGAATAAAACTTTGAATTTGAATATGTTTCGTGCAGTTATTTTGCAAAATTTCTTGCTTTTAACCATGGGTCCTAAGAAAGCAAGTCCACAGGAGAGTGCCGAGAAGAAAAAGAGGATGATTACCATGGAGTGTGGGAATTAAGTGTGCATAGCATTAACCCTTTCAGGGTCGAGAAGCCCTCTCCTAAACTCGTTCTCAGGGTCGAAAATTTTTCGGGAAAAAACAAGTAATTTTTTTCTTATGAAATGATAGAGAATCTTTTCCCGATCATAATGACACCAAAAGTATGAAATTTTATGGAAAACTTACGGAATTATGCTCTCGCAAAGTTAGTAGCCTCGACAATGTTTACACATCGGCGATTTCGCCCACTTTGAGCCCTATTTTCAGCCAATTCCAGTGTACGAGTCGACAAAAACAATATCTATTTCACTAGAACTCCATTTTTTCTATCGAATGAGTACAAGAAACCGCCCATTTACTGATTTCAACTATCCAATAAAGTGTGAAATTGGCAATTTTGCCAATTTCACACAAATTTCAGAAGTTGCCAATTTCCAAATAGGGTCCAGAATAAACAAGACAGACATTCCTGGCACTAAAATATCATTTTCTCTGTTCATCAGTCACGTTCCCAGGTCCCTCTTACATCTCTTTTGCTTTCCACTTTGAATTTTTATTCTCGAAAAAAATAGAAGATTTACTGTTATGCAGACTACTGCATTAGTCTAGAAATGGTATAAATAATATCAGCACACTTGTAAAACAATATTAGACTCACCAGTTGACATTTATTGGACGCTTGGCATGATTTGTTTACTTTTGAACTTTGGTAAAAATCAAACATTTCTGCTACTTTGAGCTCAATTTCAAGGTATTTTTCATTATGAAACCAATCAAAATCATCTCAATTTCTGTAATAGGTCTTCCTTTCTATAAAATGAGACCAGGAAAACTAAAATACTACCATAAATACTATACAAAAATACACTGCAAAATTGCTGTTTTAACCCTTTCAGAGTTTCCGACGTTCTAGTACTGATTACGTGCCAGGGTTTTTGACGTACTAGTACACATAAATTCCAGCGCCCTCAAATCTAGCAAGAGAAAGCTGGTAGGGCTACATATGAAAGAATGGGTCTATGTGGTCAGTGTGCGCAGTAGAAAAAAAATCCTGCGGCACACAGTGCGTAATGAGAAACAAAAAAAAAACTTTGACCGTGTTTTTGGTTTAAAGCTGCGACTTTGCACTGTATTTTCTTATGGTATTTATGGTTGTATTCTAGTTTTCCTGGTCTCATTTAATAGAATGGAAGACATATTACAGAAATTGAGACGATTTTGATTGGTTTCACAATGAAAAGTACCTTGAAATTGAGCTCAAAGTAGCAGAAATGTTCGATTTTTGCCAAAGTTCAAAAGCAAACAAATCATGCCACACATCCAATACACGTCAACTGGTGAATCTAATATTCTTTCACAAGTGCGCTGATATTATTTATACCATTTCTACACTAATACAGTAGTTTGCATAACAGTAAATCTTCTATTTTTTGCGAGAATAAAAATTCAAAGTGGAAATGTTATTTTAGTGCCAGGAATGTCTTTCTTGTTTTTTTCTGGACGCTATTTGGAAATTGGCATCTTTTGAAATTTGTGTGAAATTGGCAAAATTGCTAAATTCTGACCACTTTATTGGATAGTTGAAATCGGTAAATGGGTGGTTTCTTGTACTCATTCGATAGAGAAAATGGAGTTCTAGCGAAATAGTTATGATTTTTGTCAACTAGTACAATGGAATTGGCCGAAAATAGGGCTCAAAGTGGGCAAAATCGCCGATGCGTAAACATGGTCGAGACCGCTAACTTCACAAGAGCATAATTCCGTAAATTTTCCATCAAATTTCATACTTTTGGTGTCATTATGATAGGGAAATAATTCTCTATCTTTTCATGAGAAAAAATTATTTTTTTTTTTAAATTTGGCGACCCTGAGAACAAGTCTGGGATAGGGCCTGTCGACCCTGAAAGGGTTACACCAAAAACACGGTCGGATTTTTTTTTCTCATTATGCACTGTGCACTGCAGGATTTTTTTATACTGTGCACACTGACCACATAGACCCATTCTTTCATATGTAGGCTTACCAGCTTTCTCTCACTAGATTTGAAGGTGCCAGAATTTAGGCATACTAGTACATCAATAATCATGGTGCGTAAGCCATACTAGTACGTCAGAAACCCTGAAGGGGTCGACAAGGCAATTTTCCGCACGCTCTCAAAAAAAAAAATAGAAAAATTATGGAAATTGAGTTATTCATACAGAAAAATAGCTTAACTCTTTGGCAACACAATGGTACAAGAATCAATGTTCTACGACGTTTCTACAAGAAATTATAGTCATTTATATCAGGTATGGTGACGGCGATATGGGTAGCGCGTCTGCTCACAACCCATATAATTTTTGGAATTTTTTCCTTGTTTTTTATCGCTTTTTCTTGCATTATTCTTTCTAATATAATAATTGACTATTTGGCATCACATAAGAGTAGGCGGAGCTTATACGTAGACTTCCAGCCAATCAGGAACCATCTGGGAACACTCGGCAGTATTCCCGCTCCAGAGAGAGCCAGGAGAAATCACTTCATTATTGCGCTTACATATCAACTCTACAGCTTATTTACCTATCAGAATTGATCTAATATGATATAATAAACACTATAAACACTATGAATAATATTTTTTTTTTTTTTATCACACTGGCCGATTCCCACCAAGGCAGGGTGGCCCGAAAAAGAAAAACTTTCACCATCATTCACTCCATCACTGTCTTGCCAGAAGGGTGCTTTGCACTACAGTTTTTAAACTGCAACATTAACACCCCTCCTTCAGAGTGCAGGCACTGTACTTCCCATCTCCAGGACTCAAGTCCGGCCTGCCGGTTTCCCTGAATCCCTTCATAAATGTTACTTTGCTCACACTCCAACAGCACGTCAAGTATTAAAAACCATTTGTCTCCATTCACTCCTATCAAACACGCTCACGCATGCCTGCTGGAAGTCCAAGCCCCTCGCACACAAAACCTCCTTTACCCCCTCCCTCCAACCTTTCCTAGGCCGACCCCTACCCCGCCTTCCTTCCACTACAGACTGATATACTCTTGAAGTCATTCTGTTTCGCTCCATTCTCTCTACATGTCCGAACCACCTCAACAACCCTTACCAAAATGTTAAGATTAAATTTCCGAGTGTTTTAAGCCTAACAAAAAAAATTTTACAATCAGTACTTACCGAGATATAGAGGCATAAAGCTGGCAGAAAATAAGCCACGTATGGCAACAGCGGCAAATGCCGTTCAACCGGTAAACATCTTTTTTTTACTCCCATTCGAAGGTTTCTTGTGTTTTCCACTACTTCATTTTTTCAGGTAGCTTATGTGGCCTGTGAGACCAAATTAAGGTGCAATGTACATATATACACTCGTATGCAACACAATAAGTGCACAAACATTATTAATACGTATATTGTTTACAAAACTTGTTTACACAAATACAAAAAAATTTTTATTACTATTGTTCTATGA